CCCCCATGTACGCGCACGCACACACCCATGTACGCACACACACACCCCCATGTACGCGCACACACCTGTGTACGCACACGCACACGTACACACACGCACTGAGCAAGGCCCTTGTGCTTCAGGTCAGCAGGGCATCGGGACGTGCAGCTCTCCCCGCCCAGTCGCCTCTGTCCTGCTCTGTCGCCTGGGAGGAGGCCACAGCAGGGCCTCTCCTCCACCCGAGGGCCCGCGTGGCTTAGGGCCTCCTTTTGCAATCCAGGCCCCTGTGGGCCGTCTGACTTCCTGGGACACAGCCCGCCACCCCGGGAGCTCTGCTGGGGGGCTCGGCAGGGGTCCTGCAGGGAGAGGCGGCTTCTGGGTGGCCTTTGAGTCCTGCCTTGGAGCCTCGGGGCGCTGGTTTGGGGGGAGGGGGCGCGGAGCTCGGCCTGGCACAGCGCCCACAGGCCCGAGACGGGGATGGGCCGAGTGCAGGCTCCCCAAGGCCTTGCCCGGCCGCCCACGCCCTGCTCACACCACTTCCCTGTCTCCCACAGTACACGTCCAGCATGAGAGCCAAATACCTCGCCACCAGCCAGCCGCGCCCCGACTCCAGCCCCTGCTCTTCCCTTGCCAGCAGCGCGCCTCCCCCTGGCTCCCCCAGGCCGCCAGCCCGGCTGCACCCTCCCCCGTTTCTGCAGGGGCCCTGCCAATGGAGATGAGGGGTTCTGAGCTGCACCCTGTCCTTGGGGTCCATGCCTGGACACATGGGAGCACTGTCACGGACACAGGGCCCTCGCGGTCCCCCACCCCTCTGCCCTCTAAGGATTCGGGTTCGCAGAGCCCTGCTCTGGGCCAGGCGGCAGCCCCTGCAGCACGGACCCTGGACCTGCGCCTCCAGCTCAGCCCTTCCCTCCGCAGCCCTGACGCCTCTGTGGTCACGCGCTGCCCTCTGCCCAGCCCTCCGTGCTCCTGCGTGTCTCTGGCTCCTTCTCTCCCCCCTGACCACAGGCCCCTCCAGCCAGTTGCCAGAGGTTCCTGGGCCCACCTCCGCCTCTGCCTCCGCCAGCTCCGCTCTCTCCCTCTAGCTCCTGCGGCGCCCGCCCTCCACGCGGCCAGAGGACAGCCGGAATCGCCGAGCCTGGGCCGCTCACCATGGTGCCAAACCCCCTCCCCACAGGCCTGGCACCCTGTTCCGGTTCATTCTTTGCACTAACCATGCTCCTCATCTCTAGGGTACGTGGGCCGCGGGCCGCACACTCCCTCCCGGCCCCCTTCCACCCAGGACAGGTGCCGTGGCCTGGAGCCTGGCCACGGGGCGTGGGGGGCGGGGGGACCTGAGCTGCCTGTGAATGAGCCCTTGGCCCTGCCTCCCGGGACTAACCAAAAGAAGAAGAAGAAGAAAAAAAGAAAGGATATGCATGCACTTCACAAAAGAGTTGGTAAGAAGGGGCGGCCGCTGCTTCTCGGGGCGCTGCTGGGGGCACAGGCCGACCCGGCAGGTGCTACCCCAGGAGGGTGTGGGCTGTAGGACGAGGTCCCTGCAGCCTCGGTCTCCCTGCCTGTGAAGTGGGGGCGAGGCCTCCGTAAGGTGCTTCTGGCTTTATGTGCAGTGTGTGCTGTCCTGCTCGGGGAGCCAGCCCCGGGAGAGGCCGGCCAGGGTCCCACTGCCGGCCGGGCAGTGACAGACCTGGGGGCTCCAACTCCAGAGGCCCTCCCCTCCCCTCCCCCGGGACCTTCTCTCTGTGCTGGTGTCTGGGACCAAAGTGGGGGGATGGCCCCCACCCGGGGCAGCCTCTGCCAGGAAGTGGGGGCCTGAGTAGACACCCCTGGGCTCCTGGACACGGCTGAACCTCACACACTGTCCAGCATGCTCCAGGCCCCCCGGGCGGGACACAGGCCCCTGGGCTCGCCCCACCCCCACCCCACCCCCGTGTGGCGGGAGTGT